GGGGTCGGGGAATGATAAATAAACAACCATATTGTAGCAGTTACAGGACGGGTGAAAGGGTGGCTGGGTCGGGCGGTGCCTGATCTGTATGGACAAGCAATTCTGATTAATAACTCCTTATGTGTAGTAATGTGGTATGTGGTTGCTATGTACGTGTCCAGCAGGAGCCAGTGTAGGGCTCTTGGGGGAGCTATTACTAATTTTCTATGGTCGGGGCCCCTACGGCAGAGAGCCCGATTTTGATGAGTGACATGGGTCAAGTTAATCCAGCCAAGAGGGGGATCGGGGATTGTAGACCCCCACTACCAGGCAAGGGCACTACATATTAGGTTTGTGCTCCGATTAATACTAGAAGACGACCGGGCAGACTGGAGGATGGCACCTATGAAATTACTGACAGAAAGATTGCGAATAGCACAGCAAGCAACCTTCCAGACACTTATGCACTTGACCTTGCTGCGGAATTTGAAGCAGGACGCCCTTTGGACCCCTACATTAGCCATCTGGAGGGATGTTCACCTCATCACGGTGCACCCGATTATGGTATACAAGATTCTTACTCAGCCACTATTCGGAATTCCCTCATAACCGCAGAGGACAACCTACCCTGGCGAGGCTGGCTGTGGCAAGGACTCCTAGGATGTTTAGGAAGCAATGATTGAATAAGGGGATCTATCTACTAGCCCATCTTTGGGATGGCGAATAGAGGACATGGTTGGAGGATGAGGACCTGATTGCCAAACTCCCACATCAGGTATCCAGAGCACAAAGGCTGCATGTGTTGCAGGAATCAAGCTCGCTAGACTGCACGCGACGACTTAGAGAGGATGAGAGGGTGAAGGGGGAGTGGGTGGTCCGGTGGGGGTTGCCCCCCGACTAACAATGTACTGTATACTTTCAGGGAGCAAACAAAGGGGTATGAAGCAACCATGGCATGCCACCAACAGGACGATTGCCTTGGGTGAGCCACAGCGGCCAACGATTAAAGACCCCTTCCACCTGAGCCACGATGCTTCGGGATAGGCCAGGGCGTAGCCCGTGTCGTTGAGACACTACTGCATTTCCACCCCGACGGGACACCTCGAGGTGGATCCGCAGAACTGGGAACTTCCTTCGTGGGGCAGTCTGCTTCGTAGTCACACGCTCCACTAGGTCACCACCAAGGCGTTGTATTTAGCACAACTCCCAACCTATGATGCCTGCACAGACATAACGACCTTATGGGTTAAACGAAGATGGTTATCGAAATGGCAGCAATAACTAAGGTCGCAAAGACAATGGAGAGACTGTTGGGCGATGGTCTATACGTTGTCGTAATGGACGCAGGCAGGGTTGCTAAAGCTGCTGTGCCTAATTGTGCACTTGGCGGTGCCCATACTTCAGTGGCTGGCGGCGAGGAGTTGCCACAAGGACACAAAATGCAAGATTTGTGGGGCCCACTGTCGCGCGCGGCGGTCCCGCACCCTACTGGGAGTGTTGAACCTATTGGTCGTGCCACGCAGGATTTTTCTTTGAGAGTTTAAAAGAATCAGTCACCACTCCGACCGTGCACGCCGACTATACCTCTCACGACACCCCACAACAAGTCAGGGTGCCGCGAGGTACAACTTACCTCTACCCAAGGGGCTGTCACCAACCTTAGGTAGGCGTATCCCTGCTGAGCTACCGACCATATGCAAAGGCTTTTACATGCCTTTGTAGAGGTAGGTCGGCCGAGGGCGTTTTCTCGATCGTCGTAGCATAGAAATGAGGTACTACGCGCGGTAAGACGCCTAAGACTTACCCGTGAGTCAAGTCAGGTTTAGGATGTTGATCTCCCTATCCTGGACTTATAGTTATTCAGGTCGAACTTTTTAGAAGGTTTTCTATTTCTGCTTATGAATCTACAATGTATTATTCTCTTGACAAAAGCGAACAAGGTACCAATTAAACCTTCTTACTACCAAGGGCATGCTGTCTTTCTTAAACATGTTATGACTTAACTGAACATCAAATAGTATAGAGGTTACATAGACAAATAATGAATATGAGGATATTACTGTCGAAAACCCTTCCCACTTTCACAAGTGTTTTGTGTCGAAGACTCTTCAACAGATCAGGTCCAGTTCAATCCAAAATCACGCACAAGACAGACCTGCACAAAATAATGCAAAGACAGTTCACATGCCATGCACTAACGGCGTCAACCATCAACTATTGACCTTGTCCCTCACTCTCCAAACCATGTATGACAACTCTATCTTTCCTAAGACGTAAGACCACCCCCGTCACATTTCTTCAAAGGACCCATTGAGAGTGACTAGGATAATTCAGGTAATGACCACAAGTGACATTTTTACTAACCACAGGGTTTGACTTTAGATGTGGGTATCAAGTTAAGGGGGAAAAAGCTGAATCGGTAACAACCGACCTGTTATCGAGAGATAACAAAACATTGGGTCCTTTTTTGTAGAACCACTTCTTCAATTGCAGTAGATCAAACAGGGACCTGCATACACATAGGTCAACAAAGATTCAACACTCCCACTCGATTTTCCACATATTGATATATAAGGGTCAAACCCTTAGATCTAGACTGTGAGCCCTGGGATCGACATCCCAAAGTCTAATCTCTAACTTCTATTCTCACAACGCTACCCTAAGTCGTTTGTCCCCTTTTCCTCTCGTTCAATGAGTTCCATGCCTGCGTCCTAAGTTGTCTTAGGGAAACTCATATTTCCCCTACTCTCCTTCCTTGCATTCTTTCTTCTTTGAAATAAGCACATATCTTGGTGCTTAAGTAGTAGTGTTTTAACTTATTTGCTACTGTGGCTTTCCACTCGAAAGTCATGAACGGACACGGATCCCGCGGTACTTCTTGTTTTACTAGTATTTTTTTTCCCGTGGTCCTAACTCCCTTCTTTGTTTTCTTTTCCAGGTTCGTGAGACGTAGCTCCAACAGGAACATTATTTTTTTCTCTCTCTTTTATTTGTTCTAACAAACTCAAGTCGTAGGTTGATTCAAACATGAATCTCTTGCTACTTAGTCAATACCAAGCAATATGTTAATCAAGCAGGCAGTAGAGTAAATCACATATGAGTACTCGACTCCCTTTGCAGTCTCACTCAATGCAAATGCAAATGGTTCATAATACACAAGACCTATTCCGAGTAGTCGGATAACTCATACAGGAATATCTCTCTTGAAACAAATAGGTGAGACTGCTACTCGGGCACCCTACTACTTGCTTTAGGTATCACTCGGAAAGATCTGAATTTCAAACCCCTCCTAGAGGTTAATAACAACCTGAGTGAATAATAGGCAACCCACACAAGAGCCCCCTACTATCACGTGACCAAATGTTTGATCAACTTTGTGAGTGCAATAAGACGATCCTCACAAGGCATCATTTTGCTCTCCCGAAGTCAACTGGTCTAAGACCTGGTTAGTTTGGACAGAAGACGAGTTTGTAGGATATTCCTACAGGAGTACCCCATCTTGTAAGTTAGTACAAAATCAAGCATGTAATAGTCTGACCCGAACAAGGGCCCCCCGCTACTTCCTTGGGTAACGAGTAGTCCATTTTTTAAACAAGTAATAGGATGACTCCTACAGAAGCCTTCCTATTACCCGTTTGATGACCGAACTGCCTGAGAGTAAGTAAGTCGGTACAGAAAGAGTAACAATGTGATTTCCTACTTCTCGCAAATCGTTAGTCGGTCTTAGACTCAAGCGTGTGAACAAGATGACCCTCACTGGAGCCCTCTACTACACCTTGAATAAGTGCAAAGACTGAATCTTTCTGAATCGTTAATAAGAAGGAAAGTTAGTTCCTAAATCTCTCATCCCCTATGTTTAGTATTGGATGACCAATTTGTTGGCAGTAAAATCAAATCATTAGTCATACTTAGGCAAGTAGCAGGGTCACTCATACATGAATACCCTACTATTGCTCAAAACACGGTAGAAATCTCCAAGTCAGGTTTGAAAACCCGGGGACTTCGAGTTCCCTCCCTTGTTCTGCAAATATCACTGCCATGTTGCTCACAGAAGGAGTATTCGGGTAAGAGGTGAGCCCTGCGCGAAGGTGTTAGAGGGCCTTCATGTGTGAAGTTCGTTGTGATCCGGACTACGCAAACATGGCCCGCATGTTGTGCTCTGTCAACGATGGAACGATAGGGTCGTGTGCGGTTCTCGATTCACCACTGCGGTGATGACGTCTTGCCAGGGCTTTCGTTATGGTTTGCCGGTGAGAGAATTGTTACTGCTGAGATTCATTCTATCCTGACCACGTGGTGGGTTGCTTCGTTTGTGTTGTCCTTTGCAGACAAGATGTCTTCTTGAAGGGGTGGGGGGCAACCTAGCGAGACCTCAGGGAAAGGGTCCGAGAAAGATTCCACAAGACGGTCATCTTTGACCACGAAATCGTGGTCGAACCACACGCAATCCAAATGGTTCGTTGACTAGTGCTGTGGGGATGCTTCCAACCCCATTGCGCAACCGTGTGGACCTGTCATCTTCATCGAAGACAAGAAGGGGCGTAGACTTCTTGGGCTATCATGCGAAGGGAGGACACGAAGCGGGGACGGCGACGGTTCTATATGAAAACAGTTTACGGTGCTAAGGGCAACGTCATTGCCAATTCCAAAGGGGTTGTGCTGCACCCCGTACGAATACGGGCCGGTCGTACGATGCATACGGTCGTATGTACAGTCCCCCAGGCGGACGTTGTCGGGGCCGTACCCTGAAGGACTTTTGAGCCTTGGTCGACCCCACTACGGGTCCCACTTGGCTCGACCCGCCCACGCTTACTCTCAGGGCGCGGGTCGTTCGTCCCAGGGGCACCCCCACCTAGTGCTATGAGATGGATGGGGTTGGGCCATTAGGGCGAGAGAGCTTAACATTAGGGATGTAGCTCAGCCCTCTAGCCGGGTGGTAGCCTCACTGGTCTAGGTTCGCAGGTGTAAGGTTTTCGATTCTCTGTTTGTCTTACCAGACAATTGCTCCTTCCAATACTCAGGCATTCCAGGGAGGTTCATTGAGAGCTTTCTCTTCTTTACGGTGCGTAGGCTAAGCGTTCTCCTTAGGCCACGCACTCCTTCACTAACAACCCTAGTTTCCTATAGCATCATCGGGGCGGCTCGTCCCTTTGCCCCTAGCCCCTATCTTTCCTCTAGTCGGCCCACGCATACATCTCCTAGGTCTCGTGACCGCCCTTAGTCCTTCCAGGTGGTCCTACCAAACTCGCGACCCAGCCACAGTCACACATCACGGCAAAGTCAGACTCCAACCCCATCCCCGACCCTTAGTCTTTTCAGGTCGCGCTAGTCATGCAATCGTCAAAGCCCAAAGTCCATCCCGTCCGTTCGAGATTCAACCCCCCTTCTCCTCATTACGGTCCCATGGCGCACAATCCCTTCATTGCCAGGTCGTCCAAGCCACTTACCTGCAACACATCCAAATAAACATGATAATGACATACGTCCGTCCCCGATGGGGTCAACACAACGCCCCTCATTCAAGTCCAAGTCTTCCCTTTCCTTTTCCATGCTTTTGGGTGCCTTCCTTCCTTCCTCACAGTCAAATCACACTCTTCTTACTCAGGCATGCAGTCGAGGAGGTGGTTGAGTCGACTGACCTTGTCCAAAACAACACTCCATTTTGCTCTCACCAACATCCTCAATAATCTCGTTTCCTTCTTGGTGGCACAAGCGACCGACAACCCTTCCCTTGCCCTCGCTCTCCACCAAGTGAGGACCAAGTTCATTTCCGTTCGTTTCCCTGGCAATGTAACGGTGAGGATAGAAGTTAGTCACATGCCATGGAGGAGAAGGGGTGACAAAAGGCTTTAGGGGTTAAGGAATTTTGAAGGAATGGAGGAAGATGAGGGGAGAGGGAGGGAGAGAGAGAGAGAGAGAGCGGGAGGGAGGGAGAGAGAGAGAGAGAGAGAGAAACCTGAACCTACCTCTAAGCAGTGCCCAAAGCAAAGGTAGACCCTGACATAATCTTCTTTATGCAAGGTGGATTGTCAGAATCGCCACCTGTTAGAACATAATCTATCTCATCTAAATCAGGAAAATTTCGGCAGCGCTTCCCGTATGAAAAGTGTCTCTCAATAATTTATATAAGTTCATATATGAAAGCAGAAATAATACCTAACTCTGGAAAGTCAAACTATGTCTAACTTCATGAAATAGCAGAAATTTGGGCAGCATTCCCTTTAGAAAGGGAGGCTTTCCAGATTTATACTAAGTCAGATATGAAGGCAGAAATAGTCTCTAACTCTGAAAATTCAAATTCTGTCTAACTCCCTGAATCAGTTAAAATTTGGGCAGCATTCCCTTTAGAAAGGGAGGCTTTCCAGATTTATACTGAGTCAGATATGAACTCGAACGACAGCTCGAGCTCAATTTTAGACAGAATTTAGTTGAAATTTGGGCAGCATTCCCTTTAGAAAGGGAGACTTTCCAGATTTATACTGAGTCAGATATGAACTCGAACAACAGCTCGAGCTCAATTTTAGACAGAATTTAACTAACTCCTTAATTTCGTAAAAATTTCGGCAGCACTCCCTCTAGAAATGTACTATTCCAAAATTTATACAAGGCTAAGTTCATGACTTGAGAATAACTTTCACTTCTCAAAGTCAAATTTTGTCTAACTCCCTGAATTAGTAAAAATTTGGACAACACTCCCTTTAGAAAATGAGACTTTCCAGATTCCTACTAAGCCAGATATATGGAAAAGACAAGTTGAATTCTGACAAGTCAAAAGTTGACTAACTTCTTGGATTTATAAAAATTTCGGCAGCGCTTCTCGTAGGAAAAGTAGCTTGCCAAGATTTATACAAAGCTAAGTATAAGAAAAAATCTGAGAAAATGCAGGTATTGACCTAAGTAAAAAAAAGTTATTAGAGAAAATGCAGGAATTGACTCTAACTCTTATGGCTCTAGCACGTGGCGAGCAACTAAAGCAACTACCTATAATACTGAAACCCAAACAAACTAGCCATCCCATCCAGTCACATGCAAACCAAACCACGAATGTAAGTACTCTCACCATCCCAAGTTCATTCCATATAAATAGTTCATGAACCTTCAAGTCCTTGAATCCTTATACCCATCTTACATAAGACATAGAGCTGGACCATTCGCCATGAAAACAATGTCCAGCTTGACTTTATGATATACACGAACAGGTTTCACAACTACTTCTCTCTTCTTTTGGGCAGATGACTAGGCCATTCGCCATGGAAACAATGCCCAGTCGCCCTGAGCTGTTTAATATCCAAAATTTAGTATTTCTCTGACTTTGTTTTAAAAAAGGGAAACAAATATGGGCAGGGGACTGAACCATTCGCCATGGAAACAATGTTCAGCTTACCCAAAACTATTTTCATTTATACTTCGTATTTTTCCCTTTCTCTTCTTAATGATATGGCTTAACGCTGGACCATTCACAGTAGAAACTATGTCCAGCTGCTAGTTCACATGCAAATATACATAAAGTACTTTCCTTTATATTTAGTTTAGTTCACGTGTGTGGTTTTCAGGCTAAACCATTCACAGCAGAAACAATGCTTAACCTTAATCTAGAAATCCTCCCTCAGAGTAAAACAAGAATTTAAACCCCTTCAATCGGGCAAACCCCCAGAGTTAACTAGACCAAACAGGCCATTCACGGTAGAAACAATGCCTGGTCCTCCAGAAAACAACTAGATAAACATAGCAACCAGGCCATTCACAGTAGAAACAATGCCTGGTCCTTCAAAAAACAGCCAAATAAACATAGCCCTGAGCCCTTCACGGTAGAAACAATGCTCAGGCTTTGGTTGACCCTTCCAAACGCATGCAAAACTGCCTTCCTCCCACCTTCCCCCAATTCATACCTTAGTCTGCTTTCAGTCAAAACAAAAGAGAAACGTAAACTTCACTTTCACACATTCCTTCCATTCAGTCTGATTGGGTCCTGAAGGGAAAACAAAAACCATAGGGACAATCTCATGCATACAGAAGTCATATTACAGGGAGATACGCAAAACATGGGTGGTAGTAGGTTGTACAGATGGAAATGGTTTACCTGACGA